ATATTGTTTTTGTTGTTGTTGTAGTTGTTATTTTGTTGTTGTTGTTTTTTTTGGGGGGGGGTCACTAGTTTATTTATTTATTATTACACAGGTCACCTATCGTCAATTTATCCTTTATTTCTTCCCTCTCTTCCACTTATTTTTTCCTCGATATAATTTTTTTGTAGTTCATGTATTTTAGTCCCTTGGGGGTCGACTTGACAATTACCTTTATTGCATTTTTTTTTAGCGCATACCTTATCGTGCTCTGCAGAAGGCTCTGTGCGCTCTACACATGTATTCGTAATCAAATACACTTACTTCACTTTGGGAAAAGAGCACAAGTATATCTGCTGTAGATCTAGAGCCCAGTACTTACTATTCATTCAATTTCAACACGACATGTAATGTTGCAAGTCTTGCCACCCCACGGTGAGAGAGTGGGACGATGTGGTGCCAGACCAAGCTGTCCCCGTCGTTTTAGGCAAGAAAAATTCTGAAATTATGCAAACTTGAGCCCAAAAATGTGAAACTATGCGATTCTGTTAATTTTGACAAAGAATGATACAGGAAAATAATCAGAAATTATGCCCCCCAAAAAATCAAATTTTGCTAAATTATGCGGGGTGCATACAACCGCGGGGACAGACCAAGGCCACGCGACGTCACAGTTCTCTGATTGGGAAATGTGCATCACCCCCCCCCTCTCTCTCTCTCTCTCTCTCTCTCTCTCTCTCTCTTTCTTTCTCTCTCTCTCCCCCCCCCCCCTCCTCTCCTCTTTCCTTCCCCCCGGCATAAATAGTAAAATAGTATGACACATCACCAAATATATATCTAAACAATCAATTTAAGTCTCCTATTCGTCGTGTGGGTCAAATTCACTTTGATGGGTGTTTTGCTTCATTTGCTTTTTTATCCGTTTTACTCTTACTCTTACTGAGTGGGTGCTTGGCGGGTGCTCTGGTGTGGTTTGCTTCTTCTTTCCTATCAAACATCTATCGTCCTTATCTCCCCTCCTTTTATATGTTTGTTACTCTCTTGTAACACCTCTAATCTTCAGGTGCTCATATGACCTTATGCAGTTGCGAGCGCTGTAGAACCTTTACTAAATCTAAAACTAAAACTCTTACTGAATATGTTCTCGATGATCCAGACAAACTTCTATTTTGCTGATGAGGTTTGGTGGTGGGCTAGTGGCTTTGCCATCTCTACTAACTCAATTATGTGTCTTGCCAGGTTGTGCGTGTCAAGAATGGTGCGATGTGCGGCATTTCGGCCATTTCCAACGAACAGCTTTTCACTGCTTTCTTGTCCAGTAAATTGTGGGTGTGTATGTCTGGAGAAAGGTCCCAGTTGTCGGAAATTTATGATATATTATTATGGGTACTCTGTTACGACTGTATGAGATCGGATGAGGGGATTTATAGCCTGTTATAGCCGAAATCCCGTTAATCGTTATTATAATAAGTGGGACCCACTTCTGTAATAATAACAACAATAGATGCTTTCAAAAACAAAAAGCTCCCAAATTTTGACATTTCCGAAGCTTTTTTTTCGAGGGGGGGGGGGGTGTTACAAAATTTAATTTACCCGTTTCAATGTAGTGAAAGCGCCATAAAAAAATAATTAGGTTTATTGTTTCAGATTTCTTGCTTAATAGATGAAAAAAAGTTGAAAGTTATTCAAATAAAACTGCTGGTAGTCGTTAGCTTTTCTTAAAACTTGATACATATTGTATACCAGGTATATATTAACATTTTTGTTTCGGGCATGCAGCTTTTAAAAAAATACATTTGGTACGTGTTTTACGGCGCTCGCAATTGCATAAGGTCTTATGAGCGCGCGGGACACAAACTTTTTTAAAAATTCGGTAGGAATTTTGAATTTTGTTTGGGTGCCTGCTGAAACCTACCCTTATCGATTTTAGGATCATCGAGGGATCTCTAACGTGCGCAACTTGCACACGGGACCTTTGAGATTTTTTCCCCATCCGTATCAGAGAAGGCTATATGTTAGATCTTACAACCCTTCGATCAGGGGTGTGGCTGAATGACAGCAGTGAGAAAGAGCCAAGGAGCAGCCTTGCAGTAGAGAAAGGCAGTAGAAAGAAGCCCAGAGGAGGGGGCAGAAAGTGGTGACGACAGAATATGATTATAGGGCAGGAAAGCTGTGCTATACGTAGAGCTACATGTAGTCAAAGAGTTTACATAACAAGAGGGGCCACTCCTCTCTTTGAGCCAATTAAAAAAGTGTCCTCAAAATTCGGTGGCGCCCTCTTCGCAAATGCGCACCTTTTGCGAACAGAGCTACCCTACTTGTATTTTAAAAAATCAAAGTGAAACTAGCAAGTTTTGAACTAAAATTCGAAAGAACGCTTTTTTAAAATGGTTACACTGACAAAAAACCTTTTCTGGAGGAAGGGGTGATTGTTTTCTTCGTTTAATTTGACTTAAGAATGAAAGACGAGAGGTCATTAAAATAAATTTTAAAAACCTAAAACTCCGCTCTGAACGAACCCGAACTGCTGATGAACAGCAGTCGATCTGCGCACGCAAGGAGGTGCTATTCCTATTCTTCTTCTGGAAAAACGAAAGAGATCTTCAAAACAGACTGCAGCGCCATCTGAAGCAAAGAGCGGACTTCCGGCGGAAACTTTTTTGGCTGAGTGGCCCATCTTGTTATGAACTATCTTTGATGTAGTTAGTTCAGCACTTCGAAGTGTACCCAAACAGGATGTTTCATAATATGCATGCATGACTTTGGTCTATTAAAAAATATAAAAGAATACGGGAAATATATTTAGTTTGAACACTTTATTGCGACACGAAAACACATCGAAACATTCACGAAACACTTGTTCTCTCAAAAATGTACGCAGCTGTACACACACATTATAATATATATATATGACAGACATTTTTTTCAAATTTTTTTGGTGTTTGTTTTTGCTTTTGTAATTTTTTTTTTTTTAAATTTTGGTGGTTATTTTTGGGAACTTACTAATCATTAGTATAAATAGACATTCAAAAGTGGTCTAAAAGTAAACAGTCATTGCATAAATCGCAGTAGAAAAAAATTAAAATGTTTCTGTAAGAGCAATGTGGCGTTTCAAGAAAGGATGAAACTTCTGTCCATATATAATATATTGCAAACGTCTGCTCTCATCTCTCAGTACACTGATGCTGAGATGGATTATGGCGAGTGCCTTTACTTTTAAAAGAAAAAGGATGTTATGTGGTGTAAATGAGTTGAAAAGGTAAAGCTAAAAACTAAAAGATTTGTGCAAAAATGTTTTGCTGCCGTGGGAATTATAAAATCAAGACGAGGCTGTAAAAGCTTCAGTTCAAACTACACAATAAGCGCCACATTTGATCTCTTGAATGCATGTCGCTTTTCAAAGGAATTCACGATGATTGTATTATTAGTTTTACGCTGAAAATGAAAAACAAAGTAATATCAAAACACTAAAACTTAGAACTCATAAAATCAAAGAAAGAAATTATGCTACATTCATTCATATCAATTTTGGTTAACCTGTTCAGGGTAGTTGATGAAAGACACTGGATATACGCCCGGAAAGCTTATTCTACGCTTCCACTTTCACATGTCGTACAACTTGACAAAATGAAACTTTAATAGTTGAAAAGTTGGTCGCATGTTCACTTTGAATTTACCTCAAACGTTACATTTCTCCGCTATGATTTAATTTTTTTTTCATTATTGTGCTTATTAACAAAATTCCATTTGCAACCCGAGAAATATACATATGTATCAAAATATTTTTAGAGAGGTCTTTATCTCGTCCGTCAAGTTTTCCTTAGCCTAGTTATTGAAAGTCAATTGTGAGTTTGGGATTTATCTCTCCTTTGTGAACTTTATTCTCAACGACTGAAGTCTCATTTTGACAAGCCATTGTACATTTAGTAAATTTCTAGATTCTGGAGGTACAGGGCATTGGAGTGTTGTCTCCCCGAGGATGACTCTTGTCGGCAGTTATTCATCCAATTTTCCGCGCGGTCAGAGTCACCGTAGTAATCGTCATCTTGGAAAGTGTGGTTATGAGCTTCTTCTTCCTCGTGAGATTCCTCCCCACAGGAGAGCTGTCCTGATTCCCGAGCCATGGGCAAGGCGGCAGGCCGAACTTTTGAATATGAATCCTCGCGAGCGTCATTACTACAGTCCTCCGCGATCACATCCGGGAGATTACTTCCTAGAAGTGAAGTGTTGCTACTAAAGACCCGAGCGCGGTAGTCGCGGTTCGTTTCCTTAGGGCGTTGCAGATACCGCGCTTTGTGTTGTTGGGGCACGTGACAGAGCGACTGCGAGTGACGCCCTAGCAGCAGTTTCCTCTGAAAGTTTGGCGTAAAGGCGTCCACTTGCGATCGCTTACGGTCGATAGTTGATGACCAGTTTGACGTCGTCGTAGTATTCACTTGTAGGGATTGTCTGCGGGTGGTGGTGGTGGTGGCCACGGCGGCGGCGGAAGACCGTTCTGACGTAGTGGTGGCGGGAAGCGAGGTTCGTCTGCCTGCCAGCTTCCCGTGCAGCAGGTCACTGACGTATTGGCGCTCCTGTTGCATCAGCACTTGACGCAGGACTTGTGCGCAACACAGCCGGTTGGGAAGGCAAGGCAGACTGTCGTCGTCAGCGTTTTTTCGCATGTACTTGATATACGTATCTGAGAACAGAACATGAGCTTTTATTGAATTACGTCTGTCTCTTCTTTCAAACCTATTGTTATGTGTTTTGTGTGGACGTGTGTGCTTGTGTGTGTGTTTTAGTGTATACATGTTTGTGTGTGTTTGTGTGTTAATATGTGTGTACGTGTATGTGTGTGTGTGTGCGCGTGAGCGTGTATTTGTGTGAGCGCGCGCGCTCGTGTGTGTGTGCGTGTGTGTGTGTGTGTGTGTGTGTGTGTGTGT